TCTGGACCTTGCACTTGTGAGGCAGACACCGGAACCACTGAGCTAAATCCCCAGCCCTGCAATTCTTTTTTAATAGTAGCATAGGATTATGTCATAGTTTCTTTAATCATATTCTGTAACCAAATTCTCTTCTCCCTCTGGGCTCTTGTCCTGAGGACAATGAAGAACAAAGTTCAGGAATACAGCAGTGAAGAATGAACCAAGCACAGTGTAGTTTATTAGAAAGAACAAAGAAAAGCTCTAGCTAAGCAAGAGGGGCTCCAAGAGAGGGTGGCGAGGAGACGCTTAAGTTCAGGGGTTTGTGTGCACTTTACTGGGCTATTTTGGTGAGTGAGTGAAAATGAGACAACTGAACTGGTTGTCATTTTTAGCTAGGCTTCTGACCTCAGGAGGCGTAGACTTCCTTTGCACCTCAGCTTCCCAAGGGATTACCAGTTTACCCAGAGCCTTGTCCTTTGAAGCAATGTGGTTGCCATTTTTAGCTAGGCTTCTCATGTTAGAACAGACTTCCCCTGTCCCCTAGCTTTCCGAGCAGACCCCAGCAAGTCTCTTTCCCATTGTATTTTAGTTGTCCTTTCAGTTTATTCGCTGTCCATCCTAGCTGCCTATTGTTTTTCTGTCTCCTGGTCTCAATTCCATCATCTCTAGATTGTAAAGTGATATGTAGTGAATATGACCAATAATCTCATTCCAAGAGTCCTCGTTCATATATATTATGCTCATAGGCATATGTGTTGCCAGAAGATATGTTTAGAAGAGAAATTTCCAGATTCTTAGCTATGCTTATTTTTGCAACTGTCACATTGCAATTCAAAAAATTAGCACTAATTTCTTCTCCCACCAATAATGTGTGCTTGTCTCCTTGGTCATTCATTCATCCTTTTATTCAAGGGACGCTTATAGAGAGCCTCCTATATGCCAGACAGCACTGTAGGTATTGATGTATAATGCAAAACAAGAGAGTAATACAAAGGTCTAGGATCCTGATTTATAATGAGGAACTTGGATAATAAACCAAAAAGATTAAAACAATAAATGATCGGAGAGTAAAAGTACTAGGTGGAGAATTAAAACATGGGCTGTGTTGTGGCCAACTGTGTGGCCACTTTAGAATGCTTTGTCCGTGAGGTAGCACTGCAGCTGACACTAAGAAGACACAGACCTAGGAGGATCAGTGTGAGCATGCCCTGGAAAACAAACAGCATGTTCAAAGGCTCTTAAGCAGAAATTTGCTTTGAGTGGGGAAGTATGAAGGAAGGCTAAGTGTGGCTTCATAGTGTGCGAGAATGTGAGGGCAAAAGGAGATGAGTTTGTATCCTGTGGGGATTTGTTAAGGAGGGCTCAGAGCTTGGAATTCATTCAGAGTGGGATAGGAAGTCATGGGAGGTTTTAAGTAAGAAAGTGACTTCATCTGATTTATGTTTTTGGAAAAATCCTCTGGCTTCTGTGTGCCAAGTGGATTGGAGGGGATTGGAAACAGGGCACTGATTAGAAGGGCGCTGCATCGATCCTGAGGAAGGTGATCATAGGTTAGATTAGGATGTCAGCATTGGAGAAGGAGAGAAATGGAAGTTGAGATATCTTTCAGAGAGAAATTACAGGCTTTGCTGAAAGATTAGGCATGGGGCATAATAAACCAGATGAATCAAGGATAATTTCTAGATTTTTGCCATGAGAAAATGGGTGCTATTTACTTTGGTGGAGAAAATTGGAGGAAAAGCAAATTTAGGGGAGGGTGAGAATTAATAGTCCTATTAGTTTTCTAAGTAAAAATATCAAAGAGAGGTGATTGATTATACGAGTCCAGATTTTACTGGGCATTGTGGCACCCACTTGTAATCCCAGCATTCAGGAGGCTGAGCCAGGAGGATAGAGTTTGAGATCAGCCTAAACTACATATGGAGACCCTGTCTCAAAAAACAAACAGGGCCAGGAATGTAGCTCAGTGACGCAGCTCCTGCCTGGCAAGCCCAAGGCCCTGAGTTTGATTCCTAGGACCAAAACCAAACAAACAAACAAGCAAACAAACAAAAAACCAATCAAACAAACAGAAATATATGAATTCAGCTCCTTACAAGAATTGAGGATGTGGATGTACCAATGCATGGATGGTGTTTAAACCAGGAGCTTGGTGGGCTCACTCTTAGCCAGGCAGAATGTAGATGGAAAAGAGAAAGGGCTGTATGACTGAGTTGTGGATCCTTTAAAATTGGAAAGTTAAACAGAAAATGGAGAATCCACAGGAAGACTGGAAAGGACTAGGTGACAGAGTGACAGACACACCCAGCAAACAAGGTTGCACAGAAGCCAAGAGAAGAAAGTGTTTGGAGAAAGAGGGCATGGGTCAGCTGTGTTGAATGTTGCCAAAATGTCAAGGGTAGTGAGTTATAAAGAGTGACACTTGGCTCTGCAGCAGGGAGGTGACTGGATGTCAGTGCAGACGTTGTGAATATGCAAGGCATGCCAATCTGGGAGCCAAATGGCGTTGGCTTTGAATCTTGGTTTCACAACTTACTAGCTATGTCCTTGCATGTGTTACTTGACCGGTGTATAAATCTCCATAGTAACTTTAGCATTATAGGATTATTGTAAAATTTAAGTGGAATAAAATTCATGAAATTGCATAGCACCTAACAGACCCTCAATACATTTTCTCCCAAGTTTACAGGCAGTTGAAAGGCAGCAGTCTAGGAGTCCTCACATTCTGCTTTTTTTGCGGGGGGCGGGGGGGGGGTACCACGAATCAAACTCAGGACCACGCGCCTTCGAGGCAGGTGCAGCGCCACTGAGCTAAAACCCCAGCCACCTCACATTCTGCTTTTGAAGGCCCAGCAGTTGTTTTCAAAGTAAAGAAAAAGGTTATTGACCCAGAGACCTGGGAACTGGGGCAACTGACGGTCTCAATGGGAAATGATGGCACATTTGAGTTCTCCCTGACTTTGCATTTGACCACAGACAACGAATGAAATCTGGGTCATAAGTTTTCATACCAGGAAGTCATTATGCTCATTGCCATTTAGTTCTGGGCTAAGCAGGATGGATTGAGGCTAAAGGTAGCTAATTTTGTGCCCAAAACCTTGAACAATGTGCTCTGAGCCAAACTACCTTTTATAGTAATGCCCATTGGACAAGTTTCTAGGACTTGTGAGAAGTCCTAGATCCCATGAGAAGATGGTCCCAAAGTCTTTGCTGGGAGAAAAAAAAGGATCCACTACACCAAGAGAGGTCATTTCAGGGCCATATTTGTGCTCTCTTCTTAGAGAATCGTTGCTGTGACTCTGGGATGGTAAAAGGCCGAAGCAAGCAGTCAGCATGTCCATGACAATGAGCAGAGTCATCCAGTGCTTTAGTCCCAGGAGTTACTGGGAAATGCTGGGGGATGAGCAGGGAAACCACCAAGTGATATAAATGAGCACCTGGAACAGGGATGGCAGACAATGGCACCCTTGTGGCTGCACTATCCCCACAGAGTCCATGAGAAACACAACTAATCCATCTCAATTCATTCCCATTACACCTGAACCCAGCCTCTAACTCTAACCCTAAGCCTAACCCTAACCATAACCATAATGCTGACTTAAACACATATCAACATAGAGTTCCATGCTCTATGGCACCTCATTTGCCCTTGACCTATAAGCCAGACTTAGTGAATATTCTTGAACTAGGATAACTTTACCAATTTCTCTGACATTCCATTGCCTTTTAACAGGATGAGCAGAGGAGTACCCTGTAGCGTATTAATACCATCTTACCGTACTCAATTGTCATCTTCAATTCTTTATTATATTAAACTTATTTTAGGAGATGATGGGGTTTTGTAATTGAACTTTCATGGGCATTTAGAGCAGTTCTTTTCAACCTTTATTGTGTGTGTGATCTTGGGAAATGCAGAGTCTGATGCAGTAGGTTCAAATGGGGCCTGGACTTTGCATTGCCAACAGTCTCCAAGGTGGCACCACAACTGAAGTATTGTCCATGCAAAGGAATGGATCACGTTAGGCTTGACTCACTGGAGAGGAGAGGAAAATCTCAGGCAAACAAGAGCCTCATAGGGCTCACAATGTTCTAGGGAAAACTTGGCAAGATGCTGCAACCACCTGGACAAGCAATGGATGAGGTAACTCTCCATGCAGACCCACGCTATGAAATACATAAGTAGCTTGAAGAAAATACCCACTACAAGCTCTCATTGCTGTGAGTGCAAATCGCCACTCCTGGGCAGGGAAAGCCTATAGCTGTGAGCCTTCTTGTCTGAGAAGGGAAGCAGTGAGCAAGCACCCAGAGAACTCTGTGGAGTTGCCCGGCATCAATACAGAGAAAGGAGGAAACTATAGTGTCCCAGGAGTGGGAATAACAGTCAGGGAGTTGTCCCCCTTACATTGGTAACTCCAGGTTTTCCAGGCCAAGATCCTAGAGCCACAGTCAACCAAGCAGAAACAACATCAGCATCCCTGGATGCCTTCTTAGCCTTCTCACTGTTTTCTGCAGGGCATCTCTTTAGAGCAGTCTCCTTCCTAGAGAGGAGAAATGGGTGTGAAGGTGGCTTATTTCCTGGCTCTTTCCACACACATATTTCATGTTAGACAAAACTCTGGTTGGACTCAAGGAGTATTTAGATAAGTGCCTGGAGGCTAAATTTAAAATGGGTTAATAAGGAGGGTAGAGAATGAATGCTCAGGAGTAGGCCTCCTTGAGGCCCTTCACATAAGATGATGTCAATGTGGGGGCAGCCCACTGTGATGGAAAAGGGACAGCAGTGGATTCACTTGTTACCTTCATGACCTTAGCAAGTTACTCTGCTTCTCTCAACTACTCATCTACAAAATATTGTCTCCTTGCAAGGCTCATGTCAGAATTAAACAAGGGATGGATGTACACACTAGCACTGAACACTAGGCCAGTCTTGTCCCTGGCACTTCCCTGGCTCAGTGGTTCACTTTGCCTCCAACAGCACATTCCCAGCTGACCACGAGAAGCTTTTCAAAAGAGTGCTGACATCCACCAGTCACCACCTTCTTCTTTCGCCCCTGGCAGCACATTCCCCAGATGGAACCAGCTAAGTGGAAACTCATGTATCTCCTCAGCTGGAAATGGAGATAGTAAGATCTTGTGAGGGCTTCCTGGAGGCCTGGATTTGGCCAGATAACATGGTGAGTCCAGAAGAGTGCTGGTTAATATCCGATGACCTGATGTCCCGCAGTTCTGTTTAGCTACAGTTTGCATGATGAAGTATAAACTCATGAATGTGAAAGGGCTGTGCAATTTATTGGCCAGCATATGTTGGGTTGTGGTTCAATGTTCACTTAAACTAGGCAGGGAAAAAAAGGAATTGAAAGGGTTTTCTCTTTACGTTCACTGCTTGAACAGGTCCCTTTTTTCCAGCCCTCATCATTGAGGGAACAAGAGGAAACCCAAGGGCTTTTGAGGTCTGTGGGGAGTCTGAGGAGCTGCTGTCCTCTCAGAGGACAGCGAACATCAACCTGGTGGTGTGAAACCCACATGGGCCTCTCAGGGGCCACACCCTGGCTAGTTCCCCTGAATTTCTCAAGTATCTCTCCTCTTCCTCCACCTCTTCTTTCTCTCTTGCCTCTTTTGAAAGCTTTTCTGAAGTTGAGCAATGCTCTCTAGAATGACTGACTGGGTCAGGCCAGGCATGTGCACAGTGGAGGAGACCATTGGACCACGGAGGTGACCAGCAGTAGCAGCAGCCAGCACACCATTTACCCAACAGGAAAATCTGGAAGAGCCATACTCAGCAGCCCAGCACTTCCTGGATCAACCTTAGCTCCACTCAGAAAGCTGAGCTTCTCCATCAGGTACCTGCTAACTCTTCACCTCATGTCCCTGTGTACCCACCACACACCCTAGTCTTCAGCAACACTGGGCTTTTTAACAGCTCTTGAGTTTCCATTACTGCTTTAGAGCTCTGTCTCCCAACTCATTAGACTGAGCTCGTCTCCCTAGAACTATGGCTTCTTCACCTTTGTATTTTCAGAGCTTGTCTCAGGATTTAGTTTGTGTGACATTCTTTAAATGTATGTCAAATGGAAGAATGAATGAATGAGCAATGATGAAAGGGTTGGCTATGGAGTCAAGACACCTTGATTGGTGACTCTGCTCTACCAGTGACTATTTTGTGATCCCAGCCAGTCACTAAACCTCTCCTAACCTCAGATGCCTCACCCCTGGAATGGTAATGGAAACCTACCCATGCTACCTACTTCGTAGGGCTTCAGTGAGGATCCAGTGGCATAGTTTGGGAAAGTATCTTGTAAGCCGAAAGGCGCAATGCACAAACCCCAACACCATCAAGTGTGCTAGACCAAGCTTTGTACCTCTCACTCCTGAGCAAGGTAAGTGTCAGGAAAGGAGGACTCCAGCTCACTCAACTTGCCAAAAAGCTGTCAGCAGAAGCATCTTTCAGAGCAAGCATGAAGACAGATGTATGTGCTTATATGGAAGTGTGTTTTTAACCAATATAACATAAGAATGGAATTCTTTTTCCCCCACATCCAGCCTTGACAGCTAATTAATTCCACCTGGAGGAAGGAACTAGGCATTGAGCAAGGAAGAGTCCTTATTCCACGTTTGGGAAAGAATTGACAGAAGCTCTCTTGTGTAGATCTGAGGAATGGCAAAGGATCAACCAAGTCCACTGGTTTTGAAGGATCTCAAAGATCGCTGAGTCTGACCTCATTGTTTTACTGGCAACTATGGAAGGTGAGCTGATTACCTCAAGAAATGTAAATGGCAGGATGGGGCATGGCCTCTTGCCTCCCTTTCCACAGCTCCTACTCCTCCAGATGGGCTCCTGACCCCAAGTGACCAGGGCATTTCTTCACCAGCCCATTGCTGGGGGTTCGACTGGACAGGCATAGACAAAGTCACTTCTCCAAGGAACTAATGTGTAGGGTGAGCGTCAGTCTCTTTTCAGCAAATATTGAGCTCAAATGGACACTCTCCAGCTGATGGACTTCAGCACCCTCTTGTCTTCTTCCTAATAAGCCCCATGTCCTCAGCTCTCAGATGTTTTGGGAGCAGTTTTATTCCTTTAGCAAGGTATTTATAAATTGCCTTCAGTGCACTGAGAGCCTGAGTAGATGTTGGGCACTGTGCTGGACCCTGACACAGAGACGGGTCACTAAAGCTGCAGTGCAGGGTGCTGTAGACTGCCCAAGGGACATGGGACCTGTACACCAGGTCTCTGGCCCTGTTGCCAACTCACGGGGGCCTTGGGTAAGGTTTTTCCATCCTCTGAATCTCAATTTTCAAACCTGTGAGACAAGGCTGAACTCCTTCCCAATTTCAAGCCAATATAATTAACTGGGATTTTATTTTAGGGGTGGGAGGTAGTAGGGCCTGAAGCCAGGGTCTCCACACTGAGCTACATTCTCACTCTTTTTACTTTTTTATTATAAGACAGTGTCTCATTAAGTCACTAAATTTCCCAAACTGGACTCAAATCTGCATTCCTCCTGCCTCAGCCTCCCAGAGTGCTGGGTTTACAGGTGTGCAGCACTATATCCAGCTAGCTGGGATTCTTGAAGCTGATCTGACAAGAACAGAGCCTTGCATTCAGATTTATTTTCATAACTCAGATGTCATCCCTAACCCAAGTGAGGAGGCAACAGGTTAGCTGAAGGAGCAGCTTCAGGCAGGAGCCAAGAAATGGTCCAGCAACTCTGCTCGCCTCTCATCTGGCTTTGTGAACAGTGCTTCTGTCTTGCCCTCCAAGGAAGTCAAGGGGTGAGAACCTGTGGCCTTAGCCTCAATCACTGTTTAATGCTGCTCCATCATTAACCATTTCCTCTTCTAGTTGATGTTCTTGACTTTGTTTCTACCTTCTCCCCTGGTCATCTCATCAACATCCACAGTTTCAACTACCACCTGGATGCCAAGGATTCTCAAACCTGTTCTTCTGCTCCCAAGCCAGGCCATATACTCTTTTCCTTGGTATCAGGCATGCATCCAACTTCTCCTCTTGACCATCCTGCAGTCCTATCGCATTCAGTATCTCCCTAGACCTCCCCAGTGCCGCTGCTGCTCTCCAGTCTTCCTTATCTTGGTAGTGGTGCCACCACTCAACTAGGTGACTAGGCAGAATCCTGGAATCATCTTCAATGCTTCCCTTCTCCTGCCAAGCGGAGATACCAACTCATTAACCCTACATGCTCTCCTTCCTTAACCTACCTCATGTCCTTTCCTTCTTATTTCCATCAATTTTTCCCCAGTACCTATCTTAGCATCTCTTAGTATCAGTCTCTTAAGCTATCTTTCTGACTCTTTAGTGTCATTTCTTCTAATCTGTTCTCCACACTGGAGCTACCAGCACTGGGTCTCAACCTTGACTACACATTGGAATCATGTAAGATGCTTTAGCTCCCAGATACCTGAGGCTCTCCAGAAATTTTAATGTTATTTATCTGCAGTATGGTCTTGTATGGGATCCCTTTGGGGATTCTAATATAAAGTTAAGGTGGTGGGCTACTGAGCTAAAGTAATCTTTATCAGAATAGGGAGGGCAGATACAATTAAAGCATGATACACACACACACACACAAACACATGGAAATGTCACAGTGAACCTCACTGATTTGTGCAATTAATATGAATTTATATTTATAATAAAAAATAATTTTTCTGAAACCACTTTCAGGATAAAGTCTAATTCCCTCCTCCTGGCCCTTCTAAAGCATTCCTGGCCATGCTCTAGCTGAGAGTGGTGACAAACCTATGTCATGTTATTGTGTTTTTCTTTTAAGATAAGAGATGTTAATGTAAGTTGTTTTTCTAGCCTAAAACCTCAGTATTCAGGTTTAATTGCAGTGTTGGCACTTTCTGATAAATAAGTGGATTTGGGGTTGCAGTTTGGGCACTCAGTCTCTAAAAGGTTCGCCATCACTGCTATGGCCTCTTTCATCCGTTACTGTGACTTACCAGGTGATCCCTGCATGCAGGCAAGCAAGAGGCCATAATGCATAGCTCTAATATGGAAGACAGATTCCTTGGAAAGTGAGTGAAAACAGGGAGGCCATGCAGGAGGCTGATGAGATAAGAATGAAGGTGGAAGCAATGGAAACAGAGAATTTATGATGCCTCTGTCCTTCCTCAAGCCCAAAGGTACAATCAATAAAAATGTTTGTAGATGCAAACACTGATATACCTTCCCTGGATTCCTTCTGCCAAGGGAACGTGTTTGGCTAAACAAACATAACACCTTCACTATTCTCCTAGTGAAAGGGAGAGGGGAAGTGATGGCCTGATGCGAGAGAATCCCCTACTAAGCTACTGTGCCTACATACTAAGTCCCAAAGATGGATCCAAGCTCTTCTTTTTTCTTCCTTTGAGTAGCACCCTGCCCATTCTGAGCTTATGTGGCTCTCACAGAAAGAATATTGGGAATGGTGATCCTTTCAACTATCAGGTTGAGATACTTGCTTCCAGCTACCTCCCAGTGATCATAAGGTACCATCAAGATTGTCTTCCTGTGTTGCCCCTTTTTTTCTATACAGCTCACAATCCTTGCTATGTTTGTTTTTCAACACCTTTGCCTCTCTTGGCTATGATTCATGCTGAGGCAATGAGGTACATTTTCCCCTTGGTTGAGCTGGTGGGGCTGAGGTTGGGGGACTCTTGGACCCAGGTCTCTGTGATTCCCAAATCCATGTTCTTTCCATTATCCCAAGTATCTTTTAGGAATGTTAATTTTTCTGATAAACCAGAGCTTATTGGAGAGCAATCTGATCTGAACAGCATGAGGTCAGAAAGCAGATGTGCAGGAGTGAGCACATCCAAAGCCTTATGGCTTCCAGACTGCTGTCTTGCAGTGAGGGCTGTTGTTCTCTTGGAATTCTCTCAGAGGAGTAGTTCCTCAAGCAGCATTCTTTAGAGGCAACATGGGAAGGAAAACTGCAAGAGTCCTATAAACAGGCCAGGTCAACTTGAAAAAGTCCCTTGCCTTCTTTGAGCCTCAATTTTTTGTCTATAGTTATGGGTAATATATTTGCTTTAGTTCAGTTCAGTGTGGAGATTCTATGAAAGAATGTCTGGGAAAGTGCTTTTAAACTGTGAAGGACTTTATTTTATTTATTTATTTATTTTGGTACTGGGGATCGAACTCGGGACCTCACGCTTTCGAGGCAGGCACTGGAACCACTGAGCTAAACCCCCGGCCCAAAACTGTGAAGGACTTTAAATCCATATTCTATGTGCAAATGCAAACAATTGATGCCTGAAAGTGAGTCATAGAATTGACACATTAGTTTGAAATACCAAAACTGACCAGGCATTGGATTTGTCAACTACTACATATGGTTTTGTTTTGTTTTGTTTGTACCGGGCATCGAACTCAGGACCTTGCACTTACCAGGCAGGTGTGGCATGACTGAGCGATATCCCAGGCCTTTGGATGTGGTTTTCTAAGAAGAGATCATAATTTGACTTGGGACAGCCAAAAAGTCCTGTAAAACAATACTGTGCAGGTTGTAACATATTGAAGATTAAGACATATGGGCAAAATACCCAGATTTACAACATATTGGCTATTTTGCAATTTGAAAATCTGAAACCAGATTTTAGAAAGAACTGTTTTTCTCCCAGCCAAGCAGCAGAGCCAAAGACAGAATCTATCGCAGAAGGTCCAGTGTATGCTCCCAGAGTCTAACCAGGGTTGGCAAACAGAAATGTGTGCAGGGTAAGGCAGTAAAAGTGGGATAACAATGGAGAGTGAGGTGGGCTGGGCTTCTGAATTCAGCTGTTACTCAACACCCAGCCTGTGGCGACCTTGTAGGAATCAGGGCTGACCATGCCAGGTTTTCTGATTTTTCAGGTGAAGTTGGAAATCTGTATGTTTGTATGGCATGTATATGAAATTTCCATTTTTCAATATTGGCAGTCAAACAAATTTAAAACACTGGGTGGGTCAAGCTATATAGAAGTGTTGACTACTTTTGGTCACCTACCTGTAACCTCTGCTCTGGACCACCTGGCTGGCCACGGCAACTACCTGGGGAACTTTTAGGAATGGCTATGCTTAGGCCTTACCAAAGGCCAATTAAAATCAGAATTTCTGAGGATGGAACTCAAGCATGGTACGAGCCATCTCAGTGTGCAGGCAAGTTGGAGAACCAGTGCTTTAGAGCCTTGTTACTAGAAATCTAGTCCTGAGACAGGGGCATAGGCCCTTGGGGGAGCTAGTTAGGCTCTCTATGATGAGGCCAAGAATCTCTGTTTTAACAGAGAATCACAAATTAGGTCCTGTGCCTCAATTTTAAAATGCATATCAATAACCCAAGCACCTTAATACTCTACTTTAGAGGCAACATGGGAAGGAAAACTGCAAGAGTCCTATAAACAGGCCAGACTCTAATTCACTGAGTTTGAGGTGGGGCCTGAGATTCTGCATTTCTAGAACTCCTGGGTGGTGCTGTACTTTCAGTGCAAAAGCACACTCTTAAGTGCCCAGAGCCTTGACCAGGCAAGAGCAAACCTCAGCTCAACAGGCCCATTGGAACCTGTCTTTATACAGCCTGCAAAGAAAATTTCCCATTTTTTATTAGTTGGAAAAAATCAAAAGAGGAAAGCATTTCATGACTCATGAAAATCATATGAATTTCAAATGCAGGTGTCTGTAAATAAAGTTTTTTTGGAACACAGACACACTCATCCATTTATATGTTGTTTATGGCTGCTTTCACATCACAACCTCAAAGTTC